CTTACAACTAGAAGAGTGTGCATGACCTCTGTCACCACACGACCAAGTCTATTTGTCAGTTTGTGCTTCATACCTCTGAGCTCGTTCGGATGTTCGAAGATATGACATGTTCGTAATACGTGAAACTAAAATAAATTACGAGCTTAGTCAGTTGGTTAGCACATGGTGTCCAACGCAAGCCGTGACGGAGCTTTGAACCAAATTCAGTGAAACTACAATGCGCAGTACGTGTGAGTGGAACAAATTAAATAGCGGACACCAGATTCCTCTGCATTTTTTCGTGCACGAAATACAAGCTTGATATGGCTGGATCTAAGAGAAAAGTAGTGAAAAACGAGATTTTTCAAACTTGGAATCATAAGCACAGGTACATATGCTGTAGACACGAAGGATGCCTGTAGGTGGTTTGACGTCCGACCGCCAAACCCGAAGTCAGAGGGTAGGTTCACACCTCAGTCGCATCTTCTAGTCCATATAAATGGGTTGTGGAATTCACACCAGGAGTAGCCTTGGCATGCATAGTGAACTCGGGACAGGTAAGTATGACGTACGGTAGGTCCTGATTGTTTAAAATTGCAAAGCCCGAGGTGGCTCAGTGGTTGTTTGAGGCATGAACCTAGTGATCAGAAGATTCCAGCCCAATCTCAGCCTCTGGATTGCGTTTGTATAGACTTGGACAAACCGGCAACTTTGCTCCAGTAATAAGGTGGCTCGCTGAAAGTTATTATTTAGTGTGGAAACGTGACGTACTACTCATAACTCTTCCGATTGCCTTTGTATAGACTTGAACAAACCGGCAACTTCGCTCCAGTAATAAGGCGGCTAGCTGAAAGTTATTATTTAGTGAGGAAACGTGACGTACTACTCATAACTCTTCGACAGCCCACGACCGGTTTCGCCCTTCTTGGAGCTCATCGGGTAGGCGCAGTCAACAAGTTTACGTAAACCTTATGTTCTGATCGAACTCAAATTGGACAGATATTGACAAGTACACTCATTTGCATACAAATTCGGCTTTGACCGGAGAATTACCTGGAACCCAGCTGCATCCTTCTTCTATGGTGTTCTTAAGAAACTGAATGTGCTGCACACAGGCCGCCTCATGTTTCACTTGGCACGATATTCGAGATATCGCAGTATATTTTCATGAAGGAAACTACTCACAAGGTTGCTGAAAACCCTTCGACAGTCCACGACCGGTTTCGCTCTTCTGCTTTGGGCTCATCAGGTAGGCGCAGTCCCCGAGTTTCCCTTAATTTTACGTTCTACCTATTATTATTGAGGTTGGAGCGTGTGCATCAGACGGTTAGGAGGGCACTGGTTTCACTCTGCCACATATCTTCACATTCCGTCTTGGCTTCATGTACTTAAACTTTGCCGATACGTTCGGACACTAGGGTATAGTCAGGCACTTTTTATTTGAAGACCTTGAAAGGGTCAGAACAGTAAGACAAATCCCATTTGTTTATCACCTTAGCTGACATTCCATAATCAGACAACCGTTCATCGCGAACCAGATGAATCAGTGATTCATCGGTTTCTCTCCAATCTTCAAGTGATCCTATCTGTTGTTCTTCATTGAGAAGGACTTCTTGAAACGCACAAGTTCACGACTGAAAGCACCGAATGTACTCAACCATGAACGATAGATCCAAGCCTGTTATTCTGTAGAAAAATATCAAGCGTGAATTTGCAGGGTCGAAGGTAACCAATAAAAACCCGCATCAATGAGATGAGCTTTTCAAAGTGTAGCTGGACCATTTGAAATACTACCCAATTTCGACCAGTTCCCTCAGTGGTCGAATGAATAATCGGATTGCTTTGACTGTTTCTAGGTTGTGCCAACTGTTTCGTGTGGTTTAATACTAAATCGTATCACTTCTTCCTTTCACAGGGAAACCTGCTCCAAATGGTTCGGTTAAGCATCCTGAGTATTACCGAAAGACCGTGTGTGACAAATTATGGCATGTTCAAAGCCATCGTCGGAATACTGGCGGTCGTATGTTTCCTTCTCCTCACCAGATGGTACGCGTCTCAAGCACCACAGATCATTGTAACTGCACCCGACATCTCACTTGCCCCATTCCTGGTCCTTCCCCATTTGGATGAAAAGCAAGTTAGAATGCTTCCTGATTTGTCCAAATTGCAATGGCCCCCCGATCCCATCGCATCTGTGCCGGCTGGTCGGAGAAATGCGATGGGGAAAGTCGAGCCACTACCGGATGCATTTATGCCCGTAATGAGTGCAGGACAACGAGCGTTATGCAAGCATCTACTGCAAATGTTTGCAGATATCATGTTTGCTTATGGATTCGGCGACAGGTTTATGTTGTACGGAGGGACGCTGCTAGGTTCCTATCGACATCATGACTTCATTCCTTGGGACGACGATCTAGATGTGTTGGTTGACGAAACTGTCAGACCTAAGATGATTGAACTCCTGAGGCTATTAGAGCCGGAATATCTATTTGTCGATCAATCTGTCAGGGGAAAGTTACATACGCGCCTCATAAAGGCAGTGAACAATTCCGAAGATCTTCCACTTAGCAGACAATCATCCGAGTATCCATGGGGCTGGCCATATTTAGATATCGGATACTATACAAACAACGGATCACACGTTTGCGAGATTGCAGGTTCATACGGAAGATACTACTGCTGGCCACTATCCGTGTTATTCCCCCTACGGTTCCGACCATTAGGAACCAGGTGGTACCCAGTTCCGTTTGACGTTGTACAATTTCTTAACCTCACTTACTCTGACCTGTCCAACTGTGTTATTTTCGGATATTCGCATGTTTTGGAGGGAGCTGGAAAGCGTGGAAACTTACCTTGTTCTGACTTGACAGATCATTACGCATTCGTGCGTCGTGAGCGCTCGCCATGGCAACTGAATAGTGCGAATAATGCGGAAAATCGATTTGTTCTGGCGGCCGAATACCTGTTCACAGGTTCACAGCAGATTATACATACACTACACATCCCTGCCTTGAAGAACGAGATAACATCGGACCTGTTTCGTGTTTCCTGACCACATTACCCACAAATTGGTCCAAGATGCCACGATCCATTCCTATTTTGGTCGTCTAGTCTTTCCGACGGAATTATAAAAAAAACTTGAGTTGCGTTCAAAACGTATTTGTTTATGGATTTTCCAAAGACCATTCATTCAGAAAACCCACTGTTATTTCCCTCCGAAGAAGACACACTTGGAGTTTGAGTTTCTTGTCATACGGCTACTTTCCACAGTGAATAAACTAGAAGGAAATATTGATTTTCCCCCAGATCCTCTTGATGGTCATCCGGTTGTGTGAGTTGCAGTTATTGATTATTCGGTGAAATAGAACATCCGAGGTCAACCTGGGTGAATACAGCTCCGAACGACTCGAGTTTGTGCTCCAACCCTATATTTGTGGGGCTACCGGTCCGTACTGTTGTGGACTACAGCCTCCTTAATGCCTTCTTATTAGACCGTGAACCCCGGTCTGCATAGCCGATTGATAGCCTGGTGCGCTTCGCCAAACCAGAAAAAGAAGTCAACGAACGTATGAACCGGCTGATCTGTTGATCACTGTCGATTGATCACTGTCGCGTGCAAGCGGGCCAAAAAAAGTGATACTAGGAATACAACTCATCTGCCAAAGGCGAGCGAAGAACAACCAATGAAATCTGTCCCAAATAAAACGGGTATTCCATTGGCTGTTATATAGTCCCGTTACGTTCGGAGCTGGTTCTCCTAATACGTATTTTCGCAGTTCTGCTAAAGATAGACCTCATCTAGGTTACAGTGTGAATACTCATAACCCACTTATATGAATGTCAGTAGTATGGGTGTTTGATTGACACACATAGACACACCGATTGTAGACCCAAGTGATGAAGCCCAGGCCGTGGACGGAGGCGAAAGAGCCTCATTCATCAATTGTATGCATTAAATAATAATTACAGGAAACTCTCGCGTACGGCCTAAGCAAGCAGATCTATGGTGCTCGGAAAGAGAGCTTAACGGCATTACAAGGCAACCAAATAAGTTGTTCGGGAGTCACAGTCATGAATGACTGGTATGTCTGGAGTCGATGCAACGTAGAAAAGGGCTTGATAATCGTCGAACTGCGCTGTCAAGGGGTGCAAAGTATAAAGCAGAAGTCACGCCCGACGGTGAACTCAGAAGAACGACTTCTCTGTTATAGACCGAGCTCTAGCAAGGCGATCAGGCACGTTAAACCTCGTCGCACCCAACGTAAGAAGTCTCATGGTCTCTTTTGGTATTTCGGAGGCATTTCCAACTGAGAGGTAAGCGACAATTTCGGTGAAAAGTAACCTCCTTTGCTTAACGAATGACCGTTATTGGAAATTAGATTATGGCCCAATTAAACTTCCTTTATGTGAGCATAACGAGTAGTATCTCTAAACCGAAAAAATCGGAATCCATAGATACTGTCCGGTACACAAGCCCTGCAGTTATCGACAAGATGTACAAAGCCGATAGTTCTCATGAGAACTGCGTTGGAGGTGAAGTTTTTAACTCAATGTAAACAAATAAGTCAGATTTTGATGGAACGTTTTATTCCGATACAATGCCAGTGAATTCCACGTTTTCAAAGGCATTTAGAGTTCTGCATATCTACTGACAAGCACGCGCTAGATGAATATATAACTTCGACTAAAAACATGCCAGTTAGTCCTGGTTCTCTGAAATCCCTTTGGCGTTGCAACGGAATTTTACGTATAGACGTATTTAATAGCAGACTAGCTGGTACGTCTCTGAGTTGGCTGTGAGGTCGAAGCTAGGATGAGTATCATATCAAACGGGTGCCCATCTACAGTTGCTGGTGGTTGATAGAATTTCTCCTTTCTGTTCGAAGCAAAGGATTAGCTTGTTAAACGCTTGCCTTCCGTTGGATGGATGGCCTGAATGAACTGAGTAGGACTGGTCTCTGAAACAGAGGCAATAAAACGAGTGTAAACGAACAGAGCAGATATATTGTTGAGGTAAAAAATCACTGCTACTCTGCGCGATTCACTTTTGTGAAAGAAAAGCATTTTACTACTTCAGGAAATGATGGGGGGTGCACAAACACATGGATCGAAGTTTGAAATTCTCGTATTGACAAAAGTACAGGGATGACAAGGAAGCTGTTCTTGAAAAAAAATTCCACAAACAGGTCCATTAACACCAGCACCCTTCCAGCGCCTAGCTGCCATGCCACCCGGAGGAAGCACGAGGGCTGAGATGCTGGCAGGTTGCCCAAGCCTACACGGCGGAAGCTGAGAGAGAGGAGCTGAGTTCGAACCATTCGCACTCTAACCAAGTGAGTTACCTCGACCCTAAAACAGGTCCGTTAACTAGTGCCTGCGCGCAATCCCGAACGTAAGGGTCCCGTTCGGCTTGAACAACACGCCTCTCCGGTTACGCATAAGGCATGCTGACGTCTAATCAACTAACTAACTGAGTGCCGTACCGAGCTTAAAGACAGATATTGATCTTCCTGAAATTCAGTGGTTTCCGCGTACACATTCGCGAATTACACAGACGGAGTTTCCGGCGTCGAGTATTGCCGTGACGGGGGAGGGACATAGTGCTAGCTTACACAATCATTCCGAGGTGCCTACACCTCCAGACATTCATTCAGGCAATCTGGACAGAAACTGACAACAAGAACGCCACTGAACTCGGTTGGCAGCCAGGCACAGTAAGGATCACGCGGTCCCCATCCTGGAAAGCGAGTAGCACCGACAGCACTCAAACGTTTCGTGATCTCCTTCATACTCCTCTGCCAAGTCAAGGGTTGGCCACCTCTCTGTTTACGCCACTATGAATTGGGCATAGAGAACAGCACTGTCTTCGACAAACGATGGTTCCGCATACGTAACACATGTCCTAATCAACGCAGCTTCTGGTGCTGGACACATTCTTCTATGGAAGTTCCGAACGACAGTGTGATCTGAATCAATTTGTGTATGCTAGAATCATCGGTAGTCAACAACACCATCAGCAGCTGATAATTATGTGGTCAATTTGCTCCAAGGTCACTCAGCAGTGGGCGAAATATCAGACAATACAAATGCGTCTGCCGCACTTGGACCAAATGCTGTAGAGAGACATCGTTTGATGGACAAAAATGTGCACAAAACATGACCATATTTGAACTCTTCGTGGTGAACAAAAGGGTGATTTCCTTCACTGAACCACAGTTAAAGTTTCTTGAACACAAATCAGTCAGTTGTGTATGGACCGGAGTTTTCACTTGAGTGGAAGGCTGGACAGCACAAAGTTACGTGTGTACAGATATATAGTCAGGCGATAAAGCTTCGGTTCGCTAACTGCTATACCAGCACCGGCGCAATCCGCTGCATCAATACGCAGTGTTTGTCCTCGCTGGCATTCAGGTAGACAGGGTGCCGTAAACCCAGTTGGCCAGTTTGGATTTTGCATTTGAGCGAGTGGAAGGCTGGACAGCACAAAGTTGTGTGTACAGATATATAGTCAGGCGGTAAAGCTTCGGTTCGCGAACTGCTATACCAGCACCGGCGCAATCCGCTGCATCAATACGCAGTGTTTGTCCTCGCTGGCATTCAGGTAGACAGGGTGCCGTAAACCCAGCTGGCCAGTTTGGATTTTGCATTTGAGTCATAAAGAGGAAGCAAACATCAATCGATTAAGTGGCTAGATTAGGCACGAGAGCAGTTTGTTAGCCGATCTGTCTGAGAATTCGTACGGAGAACAAAGCCCAAATAGCGAATACGTAGCAGCGGATTTGAACTCGTGCATCTACAGCCTACGAAAGGGTGACTTCCAAATCACGCGAGGGAGGTGTTGAGAGACGGAAATGTCAGCAGTCTCGTTTTCCCTCAACCGCTCTGCTGTAGGCAACCCAGCTAAGGGCACCACGCGGCGGCTAGTGTGGTAGGAATACACTTTTACCTCTCTAATTCAGTTGTATGGGAACGGTCATACTAGCAGCGCACACTTTGATAGGAAAAAGTTTGAGGTCCTCATCAGAGCGTTTTTCCCAAAATCCTGATCGGAAGGCAGCGGTTGTTGGCTCAAGATAGCAGGGACTCAAACTAACAGAAAATTTGACAGCGGCCGAAATAGTCACAAGCACTGGCATCACCGAAGTTGCCCAACCTTCAGGAAACTCCGTAAACACATTCCAAATGCAGTGAAGATGACTCACAATGGATACTTTTACTTCACAACAATACATGGGATGGGTCGAATCGGTGCGGCGAATAATACGCTCGTCTACAATCCGAGGGGCTCTGAGCATTTTCCTCGGTTGGTCTGCTTTTCCGTCAGAGCGAACGCTGGAAAATGAGTAGATCCGACACGGCCATGCAAGCAAAGACGGACGGGCAACGAAACATTGACATCAGTTATTAGAAAATAGGGAGACCTTGAGTAGGAGCGAAACTCGTGGGACGAGCAGCAAGGAGACTTAAACGGCACTATAATAGACGGGCATAAACCACGCTATCCATTAGTAGTCAAAAACAGAATAGAAAATAATCGTAATGTACTACTCATAAGGTTGCTGAAAATCCGTCGACCGCCCATGACCGGTTTCACTCTTCTTGGAGCTCATCAGGTAGGCACAGTCCCCGAATTTCCGTCAACCTTATGCTCTACTTGAAACCAAAATTGCACGAAATTAGCGAAATACACTCATTTGAAAACTAGTTTCGTTTTTCGAGAGACTCACCTGGAGCCCAGCTGAATTTGGAAACATCACAAACGAGAGATTCAACTGGGTTCCGGGCGATTCTCTCGAAAAACCAAATTAGTTTGCAAATGAGTGCATTTCGCTAAAATAATCATTGGTTCGTAGGAGGAATCAACACAGATCATCCCAGAGAACAAGCTTTCCTTCCCGGTCTAGGTCATTAATGGGAAACGTGCAGTAAAACGCAGAATCGCGTTTACATAATGGGCGAATCAAGTCACCGAGAAGAGGAATCTGATGCCAGCTAGCGTTCCTGGCCACTTTTTGATCGCTTGTACGCTGGTCCTCCGAGTTTGAATCACGTCAAACGAGGGACCAAGTGATATCCTATTCGGTACCTGACAACACAAATTGATAGCTGAAGGTAAAACGGGTGGTTCTAATAACCTTTCTCAAACGACACGGCTCTTCTGGACTAGGTCCACCTAACCCAAAAGAAGCACTGAAAACTGCACTAAAAGGGTCCGCTGTGTTGGACTTTTGAAGATTCATCACGCTAGTGATGTAGTATCTGTTTGGTCACCTGCATTCGTCCCGGGCCGTTTTCACTGATAACGTTGATTGTTTATTTCCCTATTCTTATACGATTTATATTTTGCCAGTGAAAAAAAGCGTTCAGCTGTAGCACCCTTCCGGTGCCTAGCTGTCATGCCACCCGAAGGAAGCAAGAGGGCTGGGATACTGCCAGGTTGCCCAAGCTTAGACAGGGGAAGTCGAGAGGCAGAGGTCGGATTCAAACCACGGACTTTCCGGTCAGTAAATTCGCGCTCTAACCACTTGGGCCATCTCGTTGCGGTCTTGCCTGTAACACCCCATCATCATGTCTGGATGTGGTAAGAGCGGTAAGGAAAGGAGGAGCGAAACGCCATCGCAAGGTTCTCCGGGATAACATCCAGGGGATCACCAAGCCGGCCATCCGCCGTCTCGCTCGCCGAGGTGGTGTGAAGCACATCTCCGGTCTGATCTCTTGCCAGTGACCAGCTACTGTGATGGCCGAAAGCACAACGTTGATGCCTGATAAACTGGTACTGAACCGAGCACAGCCCTTTGTTGATGAAGGAGAAGACGGCTTTACTACAAATAAAGGATTTAATTCATGAGAGTGGATATCAGGAAAGGCCGGCTCGCGTTCGGCCACCGGGTCTCCGACCACGGCGACCTCCTCCCCTGGTGTTCGAACCGCCTCGAGTAGTGTTTGACTGGCGAGCTTCTGGACGACTCTGAACAAGCTGGAAAAGATGACACAGGACGTCGGAGCAGAATGCACATTCTGAAAACGTGGTCCGAGTCTCCGATTCGCCTTCATCTCCAGCGGCTTTGGGAAGTTTGGCCTGAAAACGAACGGATCAAATAAAAGTGACAGGCATGGATATTTAGAAAGGGATGGGTGATGATGTGGAACATTGGCGACAGGTGATATGTCAGCACGGCGGTGGCCCTATCCGTTCTGTCTAACTACTGGAGTTATCGTTCGGTTCCCGGAATGTTTGGTTTCCGGGCTATCCAGTCAGCAAATACGGATGTGATGCTCTGAAGGACAAGTGGAAAACAACGCCATGGTTTCTTAATGACGTATTTGGATGGAAGATACCTATCGCAAGCGAGTGAAGTTTTGTAGAATTTACTAGAAAGTATGCCATCCATCGTGATTGATAACCACACATAGCTTCGTTTCAGACGAGCTTGGTAAACAATCGGTCGCCTTTTTATTTGGGCAACGTTTCGCTTTCGACACAAAAGCTTCATCAGGCCAAATGAACAGGTCACCAAATTGGCCAGGTTATAAGACAGACGGGGAACCAATCAGTAAGTCCTCATCAAACTGGATCAGTGTTGAGTATCAATTAACGGCTCTTGTCGGCTAGTGTGGGTGCCAAAATCTTGAATTGATGGGTTGGAGGGGTTCCAAGTTAGTTCCGATCGCTTTTCGTTCCTTAATCTTCCACTTCAGAGTGCTTCACTTGATGATTCACCTCGGGTGCCGCTGTTCGATTTTCCCTGGGCTTTGTGGGGGTGTGAGTGCTCCGACAGTTTATTTTGCCCGATGTAACATGTCGAGATGATTTTACTATCTTTGGTCTCGGACGAAAGAAAAACATCCAAGATGGTAGAATAAATCTTAACATATCCCCAGGCATATCGTCTATTTGTTTTACAAGACAGATGTGCTCAAGTATTTTGGGCTAATTAACATGTATTGGAAATGTGAATGTCTCAATTTGAACAGGAGGGTGAGCTCAAAGACGCCTAGCAAATTTTGCCAGTTGAGAACCTGTTTCGTTCACGTTCATTCTGAGGTTGCAGGTACTTTTTTCATGTATGGAGCTGACGTGAACAAAGCATATTGCCCACAGTGTTAAGGTGATAAAATGGTCATTCTGACAGCCCCCATTGGAAATTATTGGTGGGGAAAGTTGGATAGTCCATCCGTCACTGGAAGTGGCTCACTAAAATCCGGTCTTCATCTCGTTAGGGCAATGAACTATGTTTAGGACAGACTGGGTTTGGGACCGCTCAGACTGTACAAGCCGGAAAGTGAAACGACGAAAAGAGTTCACCACAGGGTGCGGGTGTAACGGTGATACTACTAATGGGGGAGTCATGTGAGTAGTATGTTTTCTTATAAATCCGCTTTGTGTCTCCTGAAAAGTGAGATCTATTGCAGAATTTGCGAAGTCGCTTTGTAGCATTTCCTTGGATTTGAGCAACAGTCAATGAATATCCAGGAAAGTTCAGAAANCAGAAAGATGCGTTCAAAGAGAACATGGATATTCAGTTTTGTGAACAAGATACATATGAGAGTTTTGCTTCCCTGTCCAATAATCTGTAACTGTTCAGTTGGCATTTTCTAACAAAGAACTCCGCAGCGAAGGCCTTCTTCTTTTCACGGGTATCCCGAGTGTAGATATACGGCGATCCGCTTCTAAGGGGACTGGGTAAACGTAATCTCTCATAGAACAGACGTTGAAGTCAAAAGAATTTTCGCGAGGGTAACCAAAAGCAGCCTCTCCCAGGACTTTTCCCTCTAGAAAAAAAGCATCCAACACATCAGTACTACTGATAAAAGAGCCGAAAAATAGGGCTTCGAACGCATGTCGCCGGTGTTCAAGCTACTCACTTTGTCCGCTTCTAACGCAAGGACCTTTTTTTACGGTAATCTAGAACCATGCTACTCTTGCCCTTTGTCTCCATACATCACAAGATTAGGTTAAATAAACTGTGCGACAGTATTCTATACTGAGGTTGCCGTCAGAATGAATTATAAGGGTCCTCAGAAAACTTCACCTATGATACGATAACAATGGGTAACGACGAATTCAGACGAGTTGCCTACAAATAAGATTCGGATGCCCTCATCCAAAGGAAAATGAAGAGACGGTGCAGCAAAGTGAAGTAAGAACGTTGTTCACTCACTGGATCAAGCTTAATCTGCAGGTGCATCGCTGAGCACTTCTCACAAGCAACATTTCCCACGGATATCTGCTTGATCGCATCCGAAACCAAGAGCATGGTGGGGCACCTAGAAGAGAAGATCGAGTTACAGAGCATCTATTAGGTAGGTGAAAGTGGAAAAAGTGTCCTAGACATAAGGAACTTTCGGAGAACTCAGACGAACATGGGATGTTAGCAGTCGGCCATTAAGGAATGGGAAAACAAGCGATGGCTAACAGGGAAATGTGCTATCCCACAAACGTTCGTTTCGAATTTTCTTCAGAAAGCACCAACTGTCTAACCGTAGAGTGTAAAGTCCGCCTCCAAAACCAATACCACCCGATCCTGATTGCAAACTTATTCATTGTCCCATAGTACTATGGAGTCTAAGCCCACCGGGCTGGCATAATTGCTTTCCGCTAAGGCGAATATCTACTTTGAAAGGACTCCTTGCACCATGCCACGTCACCTGAAGGAATCCACCCGTTTCTCTCTAACCTCCCATAAATCTAGGGATTTCCCAACAAAACTTGACATCCTGCGGAAGGGGACATGGCTCAAATAGTTAGAGCGTGAATTTACTGACCGGAACGAATTTACTGACCACAAGGTCCGCAGTTCGAACCCGACCTGTGCCTCTCGACTTCCTCTGTCTAGGTTTGGGCAACCCGGCAGTCTCACAGCCCTCGCGCTTCCTTCGGGTGGCATAGCAGCCAGGCACCGAAAAGGTGTTATAGCCGAAGGATGACATTCTACTTGAGTGCTTCTGAACAACACCATTGTAATCAGTTCAAAACAAGCACATCCCTTCTGGATGCTGCGGCCACCGCTAGGAACTCAGTTTCAAAGTTATGATCAAAGTTCAACCATAATACGTTTCGATCAGTTTCGCGTGCACTAAGGTGAAAATGCTGCTTGATCAATGACATCAATGATGCCCTTGGTTTTCTAATCTCCTAGTCCCTCTGTACGTTGTGAGCATTTGAGTAACTATCCCAAATTCCGTCTCAATTCCAACTGCCTTACTCAAAACGTTTACATCATACCTGACAGATCACCTTTCTTCTTGAAGAAGCAACAGAGAAACAACACGAAAGCCATGACTAGGCAACGCCAAATAAAATCAGTGGACGTTCCATCTGATAATCATTCAGCCGTAGCACCTTTCCGGTGCTTACCTGCCATGCCACCAAAAGTAAGTACGACAGGTGGGATATTGCGGGGTCACCCAAGCCCAAACAGAAAAAGCCGAGAGGCGGAGGTCGGGTTCGAACCATGGACCTTCCGGTCAGTCAATTCGTGTTCTAACCCCTGAGCCGTCTCGCCACCCTGTGTTAGGGCAACGGAAACGCGTTTCGGTGGGACCTCAAGGAATGCCTTGTGGCCTTGCTTTGTAGTCGACGAGAACTTTTCTGCCTGTAGGAAATTCACCCAGAAAACACTATCCGATCTCCAACACCCAGCTTACTCTTTCTTCACAGGCCACATCCACTTCCTGAAAGCGGTCATTTCGTAAATTCGAGGGCTACAAAGTGATGGAATCCTACGATTCCCTAAACGATCCGATATGTTGCTAGGCCTGACTGATTGCGGGACGCACTCTCGCCAAATCTTATCTTTTAATTTACTACCTTTGGGGTAGTTTACAATACGTCAACGATTGTGTCCGTTTTCTTTCAAAGTTTCCAATCCCAGCAAACAACACATCGGGACAACCCACAGAATCTTACCTATTGCAGTTGAATCTGTATTTGGGAGCTGTGGAGTCGTCCAAAACAAGTAAACCATTCGGACACTCTGGACACGCATCGACCGCTCGCGACTCCATGGATTGGGGACAAGTTGGATGAAGACACAAATGACAACCGGAGCCTTTGGGCATGTTGGGGAACGGTGGATGGGAGAAACAGTACGGACAGAAGACGATGTTCTGCGACAATACAAAAGAGGAGATGATAAAAAAACACTTCAACCCTTGGAGTATTTGAGCTTGAATAATGCATTGCGATTAGTTGCAGACGTTATTTCCCTCAGTAGCGCAACGAAAAAAACAGCTTTGTGAATGGCGCATCGTACCGAGGTAGGAACGAAAACTGACGCTTTCGACTCTCCCTTTGCCGAACTACCCCAGGATCGTCGTGGGGTATGCGGGGGCAGACGTCGGTTTCAAACGCAACCAGATAGTATGCTACAAGGAAGCTGATAGGTCAACACAAAAGAAACCAGAAAGACACTGAGGAAGTTGTATAGATCTCCTTTGTCCCATGTACTGGGTGGGCAGCACGGTCAGCATTTTCGCGGTTTTAATAGCAAAACTGTCCGGAGGCTGGCCGGGCCTAGTAACCGAACATCACATCATTTGGACGGATGTCACGTGGAGGACACGGGCCAAAGTGACCACCTGATAGATACAGTTGTAATAATTTCCCTTTGTCTCCGTAAAGGGCTGTGTAGAGCTATCGTGCCTTTTGATATACCATAGTGGGCGGAACAGGAAGCCAAGGGACCGATACAGAGTTGCACTACCGTTCAGCAAGTTACAACAATAGGGGAGTAGTCAATACTGTCACCAGCACGGTTTGAATGAGACTTGTTCACATTGGCCTTCCGTTTGAGGATGATATACGGACCGATCTTTGCACCAGTTGGAACAAAGTTTCCCCTTGATCGCATCGCCCGAACCTTGTTCACAAGCAATCGTCTGTGCCCCTTTCGCTCCATGCCCACACTATGTTTGCAGACGCATTCTCTTGCTGTTGTGCAGCGGACGCACGACTGGGCAACTCGGCCAAAGAATGGTAGAACGCAACCTACCCTAGTTAGATTCTAAAACGTGGAGGACAATAACCAGCTCAGTCGTACAGCATCTAGCGGACACGGTGCACAACGTGATACCCAATCAAAGTTTCCGTATTGTTTACAAGGCGTCTGCTAATCAATCCAGATCGGTACAACACCGCACAGTCGCAGTGGCCGAACCTATCGCCATACGACATCGCGACCCGATCCTTAGTCGGCAAAAATGCTTTGTTCGTGTGTTGTACGGTCTAAATCACCTTCCCCCACACATACATCCTGTGCTGAACACAAGACCACATGACTGACAAATTCAGGTCATCCTATTAGTGACTTGAACTAGTTCTTTCTTGCCAGTTAGCCAATTCCGTCTCTCACTCGACTTCCTGTTCACTCACACTATGCTCATTAGATTGTGTCAAACATTGTCTTAGCTCGTGCAATCGTATGATTTGAAAAGACCTTGCCGAAAATATGTTTATCAAAATCGTTCAGCTGCAACACCCTTCTTGTGCCTAGCTGCCATGCAACCCAAAGCAAGCACGAGGGCTAGGATACTGCCAGGTTGCCCAAGCCTAGGCAGGGGAAATCGAGAGGCAGAGGTCGGGTTCGAACCACGGACCTTCCGGTCAGTAAATTAGCGTTTGAGACATCTCGTCCACCCATCCTTGTTCCTAAACTTTACTGAGTTTATGGTTGAGAACTTCGTGAATTTGGAAGATGCGAACTCTGATCATGAATGCTTCCAGGCTTTGGTGCTGAAATAGTACGATGACAACACGTCGGAAAATAACTTGATACTTTGCAAGTGCTTTTTCCCAACTGGACAGAACATCTATGAGCTCAAAAAGGAAAACAGATGAAGGCCAGAAAGCAGATTGAATAGAGTTGTCTGAACTGCCCGTAGGACTGACACAATACAACTTTGGGCGGTGAAATACTAGAGGCGATGATGTCATCAGCTGATTCTGGTCAAGTCGAAATCTGCGAATCGGAAATCGCTGGATGAACTAACAGAAACCGAACAACAGAAAAGGACTGTGGAGCTAAGCAACTGTCGTCAACCCCGAAAAGCAAGCGGATGCTTCAATGGCCCGTCCATTCTCGTGGTATAAGGCACCTCAAAAAAATAACGTAGCCGTTGTGGCCAGTTCCACAGCTCACTGCTACAACGGTTGCAAGATACCGTATTTCACAAAGGCGACTCACTTTTCCTTTGGTACCTTGGGACCATAAGAGTAGTTCGAAATCATCCAAAGGACACCTCACTTCTTTGTAAAGTCGAATTGTACCGTTCTGTGGTACAGTGTACGTCTCATTGCATATCGGACAATGCAACCGTTGAGGGCGAGAATCAATCATTTTCAAGTATCGATGGCACTTGCCACATCTGAAAGTGGATATTAATATACACATTAGTGAATAAACAACCCGGTCGACTTAATACTGTTTGTCTCTGGAAAGAGCTATCGAAGTAATAGCGGATACGAGCAACGAGTGGATCACACTAATTGCAATGCCATATAATCACTGAACCCTAAGAGGAGACAATATTACCCTCAGATAACAAAGAAACAGTCAACAATGACAGTACCCATAATAGACTTCAAAATGAGACACGCATCGGTACCGACACGATGCATTAGGGCTGCTATAGTTATCCGGCAGTTTGATCGCTTACTACCCAGGTCCGTACCGAAGACCAAACAACTAGGAGGTTGTGTGGTTGAAATACGGCCGGACGTAGAGTCAGTTAAGAACTCCGATGAATGCGAAAGGTTACGTGGAACTTCGTCATTTCACGCCTACAAATTCACACAGGCGAAGTCGATTAAAATGCTGGCATATGCATATCATGTTGAGCTAAATGTCAGCCAGAGTAGACTGAACGGTTTTTGTCTTTGTGCACTTCACCCGCCTTGCATAATAAGCAAACTGCGATAAGCCACCGTTCGGGTTTTCAGATTCATCTCTTTCCGACGAAGATAAGCGAACAACGGTTTCCATTGTCCCATTTCGCAGGTATTTCCATGAATACGAATAACACATGTCAACACAATCCATTGGAAGATGTTCGAAGGAGGCGAGGAGTAACGAGGACTGGAATACTGTCAGGCTTCCCAAGCCTAGGAAGGAGCGATCAAGATGCTGAGGTTGGTCTCGAACCACGGACCGTGGCATCTTAACCACTGAGCTATCTTGAGCTCTCGGAAGGTGTTCGGAACCCACTAAGTAGTCAGCCCTTAAAATAGGTTTGGTAGATCAACCAATTTTTTACCAAATCTCTTTGAAACATACCAATACAGTTTTATTTGGTGCACTGTATTCAGTTCCCATTCCCGAAAACACGGTTTACGTACTGTTCCCCACTTTGCTATCCATTACGCAAGGTTTAAGAGGAGTTCAGCAAGGTGCAATTATTCCCGATCATATGACAGCAAGAGAATCAACAGTGCTTCAGCTTCAGGCGAGGCCAAGAAAGCTCCAAGGGCATCCGTGGTTGTCTTGATGCTACCAACCGGCTCCAAAGCAAGATGCCAAATGAAGGTTGGACCTTCAAACAGTACCCACGTTACCAACTGAGAAGGCTGAATGGGGAGAAGGGCTCAAACCCCCCCCCCCTCGTTAAAAAATCGTTCAGCTGTAGCACCCTTTCCGTGCCTAGCTGCTATGCCACCCAAAGGTTGCACGAGGGCTTGGATACTGCCTTCCCCTGCCTATAGAGGGGAAGTCGAGAGGCGCAGGTCGGGTTCGAACCACGGATCTTCCGGTCAGTAAATTCGCGCTCTAACCACTTGGGCCCCTATTCACCTGAATAAGATTCAATGTTGTGAACAATCGGTCGTTTTCGATGCCTGGGCTGGAAAATACATGTAAAAATCCAATACACGGTTGAAGCATTTGCATGAAAGCGGATTGGACGCTGAAGCTTATGATAAACAGAGGGGCGGAAGGATGAGCTTACTTAACCAGAGTCAGTTAAGAGACGTGGTTGGGCGGACAAAGCAGGTGATGGTTTTTGAGGTTTTTGATGAAACAAAGCTAGCTGGTGTAGTCCAGTGGTGACCGCCTTTGCTGTTGTACCTTTTATCCTACGGTCTTTGAACGATTTGATGGGATTCGATATATCACGCTGAACGTTGGTCTCTACTGCTCGAATGAGTTGCAGTCTCGTTTCGCAAACCCGGTTCCAATATGTGAGGGCATCAATTAATTAAATTTATCAGCTATAAACCGTGTACCATAGGCACATTGGCTCCAGCTGCTACAGTTTCGATCGCCGCTTTGATGCACGCTGGGACGTACAACGAAGTCTTGGAGACGAAGACATATTCGGTTTGTTTGGAAAATGGGTAGCTACGCATTGAGGGCGATAGCTTTGATGCACGAGCGCCGCTGACTGCGCGATTAAGCCATTTTTGTCAACACTAGTGACTTGAGTCCTGGGGTCACCATCCAGGGAGGCGGCAGTTGCCCACCCGATCAAGTTTATTGGTTAGTGCTTTTGTACTTCATTGCCAGGTTATACACTGTTCACATCTCGGTCTCTTCCACTTAGCATAGGCCTGGAAAAAAGAGCTCTCTGGAGCAGACGGCCTTCTGGCATGCGGAGTACATGTCCCAACCAGCACAACCGATGAAGTGTGAATAATTCACCTATCGCAGGAGAGTCCCTTCTTCCCGAGACCTTATGCTGGCGTACCTCAGCATTACTAGTCCGATGTTCCAACGAGACCTGACCAATGCTTCGGAGATCAAACACTGGCATCTTCCGTATGTCATCTGCGCGTAGGGTCCACGTTTCTGATCCATAAAGTGCCACCGCAGTGTAAACTCTTCCCTTGACAGACAAACTCACGTGAGAACACGTGCCCAGCTATTCTCTGAAATAGGTGTGGAGTGGTCCGACCGACGTAACTTGCGGAACATTCGGGAACGAATGAATGTATTACAATGGAACAGTCTTGGACCGCCACCGTGGTCTGGATTTTTGTGCCAAGTAACCGATTACGGCCGGAGCGGCATTGGACGTTTTTCTGACCGAGATCATCATTTCCCTCTCAGTGGTTCTAGAAACCTTGTTGTTCCTGAATGATAACTACATTTAGACGGATCAACCGCCATTTGACTAATTTGTCTACTGTCTCCAACTGTGTTTTGTCAAAAACGTCACCTCGCCCTATGCTGGCCAAACAACCACACGGCTCTTAAATGACCCTGATTGAGTGATTTACATACTCCTCAATTCTGCTTTAGCGTCTGGTCTGTTATTATACAATACAATTTATACCGGTGTTTAACGGTGCAGAATTTGTCAAGAATTATTGCTTGCAACGTTATGAATACACAATCAGCTGAATATGTTATATGTACATCTCTCAATTTCGTGCGTCTCTCGTGATCGCCTCATAAATGAGCTGACATCAGTCTAGAGGACATGCTACATCAGTAACCCGTGAGATGGGACCCACCTGGACAGAGGCCTTCCAGATTCGGCAAGACTTGAAAACGACACCTCAAAGAGTTGATCCATAGCGAGAATATGTTCAATGAAGTAGCGGTATTTGGCCGCGAATATGGCCACGACGAACTGAAGGACCTGTTCAAACTGGGCACGCCCATTCGCAATATGATTCAGCTGCTCTTCAACAGCTCTGCGCATGTGAGGAAGTACCAGTTCTGGATCGATGGCCTGATACCCGTGCACCAAAACAATGCCCAACGGTGTCGGCTGAAGACGGCGGCCCGGAAGAAGCTAGTAGACGTGGAAGTATCCAAGGAAAAGCGGATGAAAGGGCATAGAAAATAACAGACAGTGGGAGAACCTACGGCGGAGTGCATGTTTCTTAAGGCTTGGTAGTCTCCGGAAAAGTAAGACACAAAACAGTGGTCTTAGTCATGATAATGTGATAACCAAATGTTGCTCGAATGTAACGAATCCCAAGATAAATGTTCCGATCGGTAGCCAAGTTTGCTGCGGATATGTGTGCTTTTACAACACGCTCTGTCCGAGTGAATGGATTTTAAAACAACGGCCGAGGAATACAACCGGCTTCGGAAATTTCAAGAGCACAGTTGCGCAGGGGGAAGTAGTCATTTGAAGACATTCGAAAACCGTCATATCAGTGGTTCTTACCGAATCGTGAACCTCAGCCCTATAAGTAGGCACACTTGTGTACACCTGTGCTACAGTTTGTGAGGTATGTCGTAGATCTGACCACTAGCTGCGTTTGATCTCCAAGTACCCTCGCAACTCTTTGACCACTTTAATGCAATCAATTGATAACAAGTAGGTGAAATCAGCGAGTCATAACCGTATCATACAATTGAGAATGAACTGGCTCTAGTACTGTCTGGTTCCAAGTGAAACGGAAAATCACAGCGGAGAGAAAATCACCTGTACATAAGCCCTTTGAATGATATTCTCAATATGCGTCGGGATGGAGGCATCCGTACCGATTCCGTGACGTTCCATTGCCGTGATCAACTCTGCTTCGGTCAAGTAGTCCGGTGGACCAGTCTGGCCCTCCACTAAAGTTGGCTCACCAGTCAATGGGATCTTCGCTCCACGCACCAAAAGCTCGTCGGGAAGGGTTTGATCGCTGAGTGCCTGGCGAGTCAAGATGCGCGTGAACCCGGGCTCAAGCACACGTATGCCGGTGAGTGTGAACAATTCACCATCGCCAATTGACAACGTGACTTGCGTCGACTCGTATCGGCAGTCAGGCATTACCTAGGACACAGAAAGACCCGCCAAGTTGCAAGAGGTAAATCTGAACGTTTCGGAATATAAAAAGCAAGACAATAAGCCATAATGTGGAAGCTGGGAAACGGCTTTTTCACCATTGCTTGGAACCAACAGAACTGAAATCTCGCTAAACCGGAAGCGCCTTGCTAATGGGTGTCTGGGCACTTCCATCAAACAACGGGTGATTCATCAGCAGCGTGAGTAACTTTTATAGGACACAACGAAACCAGTCCTCACCGTTGCATATTTGTATCGTGTTGGCTGACCGCCAAATTCCACTAAAAGCAAAAATTTTGGATCGCCCTTACTACTTCCTCAACGGCTATTAAAAGTTCGGACTTTTTCCTGGAATATCGATTAGAGTTAGGTTTGTCAATCTGACTCAACCGCTGAAATCAACATTATTGGCACTTTCGATGCTCATAAGTCCAAATAATTCATTGGCTTTTACACATGAGGGAGATCACCATGCAGGCTACTCACAAATTTCAGATTGAGGTTTTGTCCTTCAAATGGAGCTAACTTGACAAGCAACTTAGAGCTGTTTCGTCTTTACTGCGAATCACTTGCAGTACGTACCACACAAAGCCCCAGGGAGTTCCGTAGCCCATCGGTAACCTGAACATTTGAGTGATCGGTTACGAGTGGCTGATCCAATAGTTCACACTTTGAAAGGACCTTCATCTTGAATGACGGAACTCCCGTTACATGGTCACGTTACATGGTCCATGAGTGACGGACTACCGTGATGGAGGTTTTGCTTACTTCTGAGGACGATGCCCTAACTGAGAATTTCAGGGTTTCTTCACACTACTGATAATCTATGAGTAGCTCAGAAAGGGAGATAGTTCAGAGGACGAGTGAAAGTACCACTGGTGGGGTTGCTCCCCGAAGAGCCAGTTAATACATAACCGCTGGTGTGGATTCCGTGACTGAAGATGAATGACGCTATGTTCTGTCAAACTGTGGGATAATCAAACGTAGGATACACCGAACGGTTAAGTGTTCGAACTACTGGCCAGGTTCAGACCCCCCACCCACTGCTGATGATTCGCAATAGGGACGAAACAGCTGTACAGTGGTTGTCGGTTTTTCAGCATAGATGGTTTCACTTGCTTTCCAGTTGTCAACTGCTCTTCCCTAACCGTGTCCCAGACCGTGACGATGATTCCCCGCAAACCCCTAACCCAACTGGCTGCTAGTGAAATACTAATACAGACAAGGTGAAGGAAAATTTCATCAGTTTCAAAGTCATCCAACTGTCAACCTTGTCCGAGGGCTAACTGAAGCAATCAATCGTCATTTTTGTAGCTGTTTACTCTCTAGCTATCGTGGTGTCCTCAAAGTACTTCCTACGGAGGGTTGAATTCCTGACCAACCACTTTTGAATGAACTTCAACAGTAGCATATCTTCCGTTGCATTCATTTACTATGCATCACCATACTACGGTTGCCAAAATCTTCACATGAAACAAATGCCGACCAACTGTTTCGTTCAACATCTTCAGACCTCTCGACTATAATCTTTTGATCGTTTCCCGGGCGATCATCAGCGCAGATAAGAGCGAGTAAACCGTCCCAAGGATCACTCACAAGCGTGCCACTCCCGCCCCTGGTACCCTTCTCTTGATACCTCGAATGATTCGCGGTGCCATGCACACACACTACCCGATGCTCATTAATTGGAGTGTACGCTTTTTGAGCAACCGGTAAAGTTGTATACGCCTCAATTAGTTTGAGCTGTGGATACTGCTCCTACAGCTTTCTGCATAAAACAGATATGTCCAAAGCGGTACTGGCTTACCGTGGCAAGGAAATGCTGGGCAATAAACTCGTACAAACGGGCGGCATCGTGCCCAAGTTCTCCGGGTGTGGCCATACGCATCGGGGCGATTGGGGGGTGGTCACCTGCGTCGTGACCTTTCCGTGGAGGAGTTAGCCCGGAGGCCAGCAGATCCCGAGCCACATCACCCCATTGAGGATGCTTGGCCTAGAGGTAAATATAAGGAGAACAGATCCTATGGATGTGGTGTATAAGTCCGTGCACACGGAAAGCATAGAAAGCCTCCTTAACACACCTGAAAGGATGGAGATTGCAGAATACAACTAAAGTGAACAAACTAGCCGCCTACTTGCTGTTGTACAAGACCGCGAAGATCGAATGTGCTTGGGTAGGCCGTGGTTTCTGTGCGAGGATAGTTTATATAACCGGAGGTGTAGAGGCGCTCTGCCACGGCCATTGCCGCGTGTGGGCCGATCCCCAGGCAGGCGCTGGCAACACGAAGCATCTCTACTGTGTTGAGACCTTGAGGACGAGGTTTGACCTTTTCTTTCGTTGTGACCTGAATCACTCTGCATGGAAAGCATTCAGTGAGTAAGCCATTCGAGTATAGATTCAGGATGGTAATGAAAACTTGGATACTCGGGAAAACGTGACAGTATGTAGGAAATAACAACCACCTAGAGAATGCCATCCGGAGAGATTATTACAGGGAATAACAACATAAAACAGCCCACGCAAATAAGTGTTGTAAACCACAGTCCCCTTAATGCCCTCTTAGTACCGTGAACCCCGGTCCGGATAGCCGCTTGATCGCCTGGTGCGCTTGACCAAACCAGAAAAGTCAACGAACGTGCGGACCAGATGCTCTGTTGATCACTGTCACTTAAAGCGGTCAAAAAAGTGATACTAAGAATACAACTCATCTGTCAAGGGCGAGCGAAGAACAACCAATGAAATCTGTCTCAGAGAAAAAGGGTTATTCCATTGGCAGTTATGTATTACCGTTACGTTCGGAGCTGGTTCTCCTATTAATAAGCATGTTCAGTGAACTGTAAACGGACTACTACTGCCTGTAAAAGACCCATCGACATTAGGATCAGCTGCTACGTCGCACAGTGAGGCGACTACGTTCACCGGTGACGTGGAAAGGGTAGTCACGAATATAAGGCAGCGTCTGGTACCGCTGGGTGATGAGCCATGGGATTCGACATTGACTAGGGAACTGGAAGGGGAAGCCACACATTGAGAGCAATAACTTGGATGCACGAGCGCACCTGGGTCTATAATCATTGATGTTTTATTTTGGAATGCCTGTCCAGGAAGACGGTAATTGCCAAGGCAACTGAATGTGTTTTCATTTCAACCCAAGTAACGACCTGAGAGCCCCCAGAATCTTCCAGAATCTTCCCAGAATCTTCATGGTTGGGTGAAGGGGACCACGCGACATGTGTAGACTAAGCAGTATTAGTACGTTACTTGTCGTGGGGGAGTCACTTCTGGTGTAGTTTAGCAACAATGACGGAGGAAATGCGCCAAAAGTTTGTTATACCGAGGTCACGACGCGCCCAGACATGGAAAAAGTACATGTGTAGAGAATGACGCATCCTCAAGATCACCATTGGTACGAAACGTTCGGAAAGCAGTTGCTTTGGCGGAGCTCACCAATCACCGCTTATCAACATAAGACCAGTGGAGTGGGGTTGAAATTGTTCACGACTGGAACACCGCCATTGGCTGTAAGTAACGAACAAGCGAACGACCATATTTGGCCATTAAGTTATCCTATATATTTGCGCAGAAGCTCTGTATGTTTTGCCCCGACAATAGAGCCGTGTCCCGAGTTCTGTGTCTTCTCCTTATCGCATAGTCTGGGGGGCTCAGTGCAGGCGTAACCAATAGACGGCTACCCCCACGATACAACAATACTAAATGGGGCACTGGTCCGTTCATGTGAAAGGGTGACTTTACTCACCAGACCTACAACAGGATATGGGGGTAGTGAAATTCTGTTAGCCATCGAAATCTCCGCATTAGGTGAGGGGAACGCACAAAGTCCAGTCATGGTACCAGTCTCTACAGTGAGACTAAGCACTTCCCAGAGGGAAATAGGGATTAAATAAGCGTGGCTTGAATTCTCAAAGTCCGTGGGTGTGCCATGTTCAGCTCGCAAAAAAAAACGGTTCTATAGGAAGCAACCTGCGTTGGTTCTTTCAGTGGACTGCATTTTTATCGCCCATTTTTATTCGGACTGCGATTAATTACTCAATTCCAGGTCAACTGAATTTTTATTCCCAGCTACATGGTTCATATGACAAAGATAAACTTGAAATTTCCACAATGAAACCATCAAACACTGCATACTTTTAAATGGCAGGTAATGTGCAGACATAAAGAGTTATTTGTTCGTTCAAACAGCAAACAGAAACTTAGACGTGCTGATTTCCTCTACATCCCTTAAAGCCTCTGATACCGAGAACGAAATCCAAGAAGAAGTGTGAAATGATTTGGGTTCACCCGCAATACACCACTAGAATGTGGCCGACCAAATGTGAGGGACGTACCTAAGTATGCAAGCGTGCCTTCTGATTTTTAATCCGCAGTATGGGCACTCCTGAAAACTAAAGACTGGATTAACTCACAAGTGGATGCGCACAGAATTCACTCTTTTTGGGCGTAAGGAAAACTCTTCCCCCGACCAACATCGTAGCTCACAGGAATACTAGAAAAAAGTGCGTGATCTGTTCTAACCTGTTTGGTAACTGACTGAAGCGGTGCTGCAAATCTGTCCCCAGCGAGCGCTTCGAACCAGACCACGTTAAATAAAACCTGGACAGTCAACACAACACTCACTCAGCAGTGTGACATGATTTCACTTTGGTCAAAAAGACCATGGCAGCCTCCTTGTCAAACAGCCGATCTCTGGTCCACACCAAATCCATTGCTGCACCACCCTTGACGGACAACTTGAATGAAAGAAAGAGACAGCAGACCAGTGAAGGGGTATAGTTGGTTAGTAGTATTGTCAGATCCAAGTTCACGAAAATGAAGGAGCCAGATGTATAGAAAGTAACCCATATGGTAGCCTACTGTCGTGGTCAGTTGGTGGCCGATAATTGGCCTACAGTTGTTAGTGGTTACGACACTGGCACCTCCGTGCTGTTGGATGACAATTAAATAATAGAACAAATAAATTGAAAATGAAGGAGATGTATAGAAAGTAACCCATATGGTAGCCTACTGTCGTGGTCAGTTGGTGGCCGATAATTGGCCTACAGTTGTTAGTGGGTGGTACACTGGCACCTCCGTGCTGTTGGATGACAATTAAATAATAGAACAAATAAATTGATCAGCTGTAGCACCCTTTCGGTGCCTAACTGCCATGCCACCACCAGAAGGAAGCACGAGGGCTGGGAGACTGCCAGGTTGTCCGAGCCTAGACAGGGGAAATCAAGAGGCAGAGGTCGGGTTCGAACCACAAACCTTCCGGATCGGTAATT